ATCTCAGTATGTGCAAGCACATCAGGTATTAATTTCATCTTCTCAGGGGCAGTCGTTCTTTTGCTTATGCCTGGATGGGTTGTTTTCCAAGATTGCTCTGTCACTCATGCCTGGGACTATTTTGTCACCATTGCTCTGGGGAATCCTCTTGCTTTGCCCCAGTATGGGATCTCCTGTGTTCAAGGCCCATCTCTCAGATGCTATAGATTAGTCCTTTTTCAAACATGATGATAGTAATATCAGTAACAAGAGCCACAGAGTCCCAAGGGGATAGAGGCCCTTTTTTTCCTTGAGTAAAATAGGTGATAGATTTGTCACATGCTCAAGTGGAACAATTTATAGTTTATGATTTTGAAAACCAACAAGGTGAAATCCACAATGTTCAAATATGGAATTCAATGCCTCTAACTAGCCATCCCAAGCAGAATCTCATACAAGATTTTTGCAAAATTGGCAAGCTGATTCTAACATTTATATAGAAATTCAGAGGACAAAATCTGGCAAAGGTAATCTTGAATAGTAAGAATAAGATAAGTCAAACTACAAGAAACCAAGGCCTATTATAAAGCTATACTGATCAAGACAGTGTGGTATCTGCGCATTGATGGACAAATAGACAGATGGAGCAGAACAGGAAGTTCAGCAACAAATCCACACATGTGCGGTCACCTGATTTAGGACAAGGTGACCTGACCATACATGCAGTGGAAAAAGGTCTTTTAATAAATAGTGCTGGTGTAACTGGATTTCCACATGGGGAACAAAGTGTCTTGATCTTTTATGCAATGCACTATACAAAAAAATAAATTCTAGTGGATTTAAAATTTTAAATGGAAGAGCAAAACAATAAAGGTTAAAGAAAAATCCACAGTAGAACATTCTCATGACTTTGGAGTAGGCACAGATTTTTAAAACCAGTATAAGCTGGACTACATTAAAATTAAGAACTTTTGATCATCAAGAGACAGCATTAAAAGAGTTCAAAGCCAAGCCACATATAGAAAAAAGATATTTACAATACATATTTTTGAAAAGGGAACAAATCAGTAAGGAAAAGACAAGCAATCTAATTAAAAAATTGGCAAAAACTCTTGAACGGACACTTTACAAAAGAATATTCTGATACCATTTGGCTGAAGTTGCCCTCATTGGACCTATAGGGTTTGAATTCTTAGATTTCATTTTTGAAGCTATGCACCTGCCAATTTCAGAGGGGCAAGGGGGTACCTGCCAAAGAACAACTGCCTCCACACTCAACTTGAGGGCCCTCGTATTTTAATGAGGTGCCATTTGGGTTTTTACACATGAAAAATACTTGTTTGCTATGTGTCAATTTCTCTGTTAAATCATGGCTATTATTTCTTTTATAATTATTATTATAAAAGTCAGTCTTTAATATCTTGCAGTATTTTAATATTATATATGAATTTAATATGCAGCATACCAACCCAGTATTACCTGTTTACTTAGAGAATGAAAACATAAACAGATATAGAAATAGATAACAGAAATGGATAATGGATAAGAAACAGTTTTAGGATTGATGGCTTATTTGATGGCATGAGCTCCAGCAGGACCCTGCTCAGTACATAAGCCCAGTACAGAATTATGTGAGTTTGTAGGCAATTACCATCCTCAAGGGAAAACCTCAACCAATAGGGTATGGGAGTTTATGGTAGACAATTCAAATAAGTATTCTTATACCCCTTAGAAAGTTCCTAGAAGTATTGCCCACAGAGGTGACCTTGATCACAAACCCTTTCACTGGCTTTACTTCCTCATCTGTTTCTTCTCCCCTAGATTCCCCCTGTGCTTCCATGTGAACATTTACCCAATAAATATCTGCTCTGCTTTTGAGGGGAAGCTCCAGCTAAGACACAGGAGCCCATTTTACTTCCTAGTGCCTCAACTCTGCCTCAACTCTCCCCCAGAACCTTGGAGTCCTCTGCTGGGGTCTCTGCATTAAGCTGGCCAAGGAGCAAAGAAAGTACAGAGGAGCACAAGGAGATTTTATGGGACAGGTGTGGAAATGATGTGTGTCATTTGTTCCTGCAGCCTGGACTCCTTTAGCCAGAGCTCAGCCTCATGATTGCCCATGTGGAATTTCTCTAGCTATAGGCAAAGCTGGGAAAAGTGCCCTGGTGCCCAGGAGGAACTGGAAAGAGATTTCATGAACATAACATTGCCTCTGCCACAGACTACCATGAATTTTACATATCCTTTCCCTCTTTGATTGTTTTGCACTTTGTTTTTAAGTTGTTTGCATTAAGATCAATGCTCACTTATTTCAGAAAGATAAATTTCATACTATTGCCACAAATGAAATGTGACATTACTTAAAATTCCCATGAAAAATCTGTTCAAAATTTTTCTCAACATAATATTCAATGTTATTTCTAATGTGTAGAGAGGAATCTTCTCACTCGTCCTGCCTAGAATGAGGGAATGGAATCATGATTGAATACTGTCATTGCCAATCATAGAATAAATTATAAGAAAAAAGAGCAAGAACACCTTCTTTGAAAAAGAGGCTATGAGGCCAGCAATATGTTTTGGGTCTGCTCCCTGAAAAGGGAGGTCCAAATCTGCTCAGATATGAACAAAAAAGAAAAAAAGAAAAGAAAACTCACAAGCCAAAGTGAGTGAAGCCAAAGTGGTAATTTTATTTTATTTTTAGTGTTGTTTCAAGTACAGGATAAAGGGGATGTAAAATCATACCCCCCATTGGTCTCTTAGCTTCTTGAGATCATGAACTATTTGCCTCATTATTTCTCTTAACAGAACCAAAATTCTGGCAAAGGTTTTACTCTGGATTGTAGCTAAAACCAATAATTACAGGTTTACCCTCAGAAAAGTGCAGTGGGATGAACTGCCAAGGTTTAGGAGCAGATGAGCTCAGCTAAATAAAGCACCTTGAGTACCTTTGGAAAATATAGTTGTGGGTACAAGATGGCAGTTTTATCATTTTTGTCCAGGTAAGTGAAGATTTAATCTCTTTGTCATCTTACCATCTGTTTTCATGTCCTCTCATCCTGGAACTTTGGGGATATGTCTCTTCTCAATAACATATAACCACAAATTATTGAGTGTCTGCTATGTACTAGGAATTTACATTACCTTATTCAATCCTCAAATGAACCATGAAAAGCAGGTTTCTTTAACCCCATTTTCAAGCTAAGGAACCCAAGGATCAGAGTTATTAAAGTTCACCAACCCAGGCTCTATAGTCATAACTTCTTTTCTGAACACTTCCTTCATCTTTTGGCTCTTTCGTGAGGAGTCTACTTCCTGTGTAGCAATCCTTCACATTCCATATATTTGAGTCTGGAGTAAGATTGTCAGATGAAATATAGAGAACCCAGTTAAATTTGAATTTCATATAAACAATGAATTTTTTCTGGCATAAATATGTCATGAATATACTTATATCAAAAGTTATCTGAAATTCAAATTTAACTGGGCTTCCTATATTTTTATTTGCAAAATATGGTAACCCTAGATGACCTACGTATCTTTACTGTGCCTTTTTGTCCCCTCCACACTATTTCTCCTTCCTTAGAACCTCCAGAACTTTGAAGCTCATGCCTTCAGACTTCACCATCAGCCATACATCCTTGATGTTGTCTGTCATGCTTATGGTCATTCCTGCCAAATCATTGATCATTCTAGCAGCTGGTTCTCTTTTGTCCTCTCAGTAATTATTTCCTTTGTCATTTTTCATGATTCCAGTATTCACCTATATGACACTTCAGTCATTGCTTCTGACTTCCTTTACCTTCTCACTTCAAACAGTTTTCCTCCATCCCAATTCAAAAGGAGAGAAGCAAAGAAAACATGGAAATTTTTGCAGTATTAAATAGCATGGGCCTGGCGCGGTGGCTAACACCTGTAATCCTAGCACTCTGGGGGGCCGAGGCAGGCGGATTGCTTGAGGTCAGGAGTTCGAAACCATCCTGAGCAAGAGTGAGACTCCGTCTCTACTATCAATAGAAAGAAATTAATTGGCCAACTAATATATATAGAAAAAATTAGCCAGGCATGGTGGCGCATGCCTGTAGTCCCAGCTACTCGGGAGGCTGAGGTAGGAGGATTGCTTGAGCCCAGGAGTTTGAGGTTGCTGTGGGCTAGACTGACAGCAGTGAGCGTCAGTCTAGCTCACAGCACTCAGTCTAGCCTGAGCACTCAGTCTAGCCTGGGCAACAAAGCGAGACTCTGTCTCTAAATAAATAAATAAACAGCATGGTCAAGGAAGCCTCAGTGAGCAGATGATACTTGAGCAAACATCCTCAAGGAGCTGAGGGACTCAGCTCTGTTGCCACTGGACAAATGCAGTTAATGAGACAGTAATTGCAAAGATCGTGAGGCAGAAGGCTTTCAGGTTTGTTTTAGAATGTTTCTTGAGATCAGGGACCATATCTTATACTTGGTGGTATTATTGATTGTGCTCAATAAAATCCTGCCCACAGGAGTAACCCATTTAATATGAAGAGCACAATAAATTCTTGATTAATAAATGAATAAGAAAAGGTACCTTAATGAAAGGTTATTAAACATGTTTGGAAATCAATTCCTGCCCTTATAAGACCTAGCAATAAAATGACAGGATTTAGGGTTTTGAACAACACATAAAAGCATCAATTAAATAAGGAATTAATATTATGTATAACTAGTAAAGTGCATTCAGAGAAGTGCAATTTGAAGGGCATTATAAAAATTGTGTATGAGCTTAATACACAGAATATTAAGGATATTAAGCCCTGAGGGTTTTACAGTTTTCTCATTTTAATCAGAGGGATTTTGAATATTCTGGACTTTGAATAGCATGTTAACCCCATGTCTTCTACCCTACAGTCCACGTTTGTGTAGTTTTTCATGCTGTTTTTATTATTTTGCTTTCAATCTTTTGCTTTTCAATCTAGAATCTTGAGAAATGGAAGTAACAAAAGATAATGAATATCAGATCTTATATTTTATTTAATATAGTTGTATTGAGAGAAACTCCGACTTGGATATTTTCTAGTTCCAAGGCAGAGCTCGACACCTAGTAGATATTTAGTAAATTTCTGTTCAAACCAATTGAGTGAATGAATGAATGAATAGAATACATTGAGAAGGTGGTTTCTCTGAGGTATCCGGATTTGACGCCAAGAGGATCAGAAAAAGAACCACATTTTCAATTCTGCTTGATAGTTTCTGGAATATCACAGAAGGTGAGAACAAAGAGAAAATAATTGAATAAAACAATGAACATTATGCCTGCATGGCACCAACGCGGCGGTTAATTATGTCCCCATTCCGTTTCCGTACTTCTTCCGCCTCAGCTGTTCGCGCGTGCGGTAGTGACGTCACGAGATTTGGCGCTCGCTGGAAACTCGTCTCCGAGTCCGGGAGCGGGGAGCGCGCGCGGGATTTTCAAGTATCTGATCCCGGGAGCTCCAGCAGCATGAGTCTCTGGGTGGACAAGTACCGGCCCTGCTCCTTGGGACGGCTGGACTACCACAAGGAGCAGGCGGCCCAGTTGCGCAACCTGGTGAGTTGGCGGGGCCGGGAGGTGGAGAGGGCGGCGCTCGCTCGGGGGTTTCGCGCTCTCAGAACAGTGCGGCGCGGGTCCGCCCGCACTTGAAGGTGGTAAATGCTGCCAAGAAAGGGCAAGCAGGAAAGGGGGAAAGAGTGTGAGGGGCGGGTTGTAGTTTTAAACAAAGGAACCTTCACTGAGAAGTATCATCTGAGCCAAAACTTGAAGAAGTTAGGAAGTCGTTAGAAATACAGGTATCTGAGCAGAGTGGAAGTGGTAGAGAGGACAGCAAATGCAAAATCCCTGGGGCAGTAGTGTGCACGGCAGGTCCTAGGAGCCTCAGGAATCCAAGTGTAGCCAGATAATAGCCAGCGGGAAGAGTAATAGGAAATGGGGTGTGTTGTGTTGAGGTGGGAGTGGGGGTGCACATCCAGTAACTCGATAGAGTGAGATGGGAAACCATTGGAGGATTTTTAGCAGAGAGCAACATCTGAGGTACTTTTAAACAGGCTTACCAAAAATTTCTTGGTGTCAGTGTCCTCATTTACCGGGAAGGTGTCGTAAATGTCTGTTAATTGCCAAAGTCATTTTTAATTCTCAAATGTGTGGACGTCCTTGAGTTTAGTACTTTATGGAAGGTTTTCCCACATCACCCCCCTCCTGATGCCTGCTTTTATGTTGTAGTTGATAAAAGTATCTGATGGCCGTGTTTTGTGAAAAGCAAACTGAATCTTATAGGGAACAGAGAGGAAAGAAGCATCCTGAGAATAAGTTAATAATATTTAGTGTCTGTGGAAGCCATCTAGTCTGCTTCTTTTACACATCTGAAAGTAATATAAGATGCCGATGAAAATATTTTTGCTCACCACTGTGGTCTTCCCATATCGACCTTTTTCAGAATTACAGAAATTGTTAAGTGCTTTTTAAAAATGAGAAATAATAAAAGACTATGTAAAAGTCATTACAAAAGTTGATAGTGTTGTGAGATTGAAGAATTTGGGGGGAGGGGTCTCTTAAAATTATTGCTATTATGCCTATACTTATTTAAAATAAATCTATTACAGCAGTATACTTAAATACTTCATTTGTAGACAAATTGCATTTTCTAACACAAGCTTTGACTTCAATTTTCTTAGCCAAAGAATACATCTTATTTTATTTTCTATGGCCACTTTTGTTGAAGAGAATTTGGAATGTATATTTTGGACAACAATTTAATATATTGGTCTTATATGTTAATAAATTTGCTCTTAAGAATATTCATCTGTTTACTGTTTAATCTCTAACTTAATACAACTATGAAACATTTAGAGTGTAACTTATTCCTTTGGTTAGATTAAATTTTAAGAACAAAAACAGCAAGTATTTGTGAAGCACCTACTATTTTCTGGGCATTATATTAGGTGAATCACTTCTTTCCTTGAGATTTTTCTTTTTCAGTGCCAGAGATGGATGAGTTTACAAGGTATTAAAATGCACTGTAGTAAGTGGCTCTATTAAGATATTTATTTAGTCTGTAATGGTTATTTATAGAACTTTTGCCTCACAAGATTTATATCCTTTATAGTACTGCTTCCCAAACCTGACATCATCAGAATCACTTGGGAAGCTTTTGGAAAACATATTGTCTTGTACTGTAATGTGGCAGATTCTGTCAGTTCCCCTCTTTGGGTCCTTGCTCTTAACTCTTAATTGTACTAACTTCCAACTTTCTACACCTGTGCTTTGCCTGAGGGCTTTTCTCTTGCTGACACTCCCTAAGCAGACCTGAAACATCTGGGAATTAATACCCTCTTCCCCCATCCACTTTCCTAAACAGGCTTCAAACAAAGGACTTATGAGAGAGTATCATACTCCAGCTTCCCCGCCCGTTAGGTGGGTTAACACTGTGATGTGTGTTTATGCAGACTTTGAGAGTTTCTCCAGCAGGATTAAGCCCAGATGCCTAGAGTGGTATTTAACTTGCTAACACAGTCCTATTGGTTGCTTTACTTTCCTTGTTTCACATCCTATGATGTTTTCCTTTACCTCCCAAGTAAAACATATACACTCAATTCTTATCAGAGGGCCAGTTTCTAGGAGTCTAAACTAAGAAAGGCATCAATTTTAGAGTTATAGAATCCTAATCTCATGCTTAATAGTGTCCAGTAATCAATTAGTCCTTTGTTTTAAAAAGTTCTCTTGGAGGTTCTGATAGCCAGGTTTGGCATTTCCTATTTTCTAGAATTTAGTGTTGTATTTGACATGTACTATGTTATGTATGTAAGTAATATACAATTAGCGCTGGGGAATGATCAACATTTCAGAGTTTATTTAAAAAAATACATATATTTGAATTTACAGTTTTGTATGTAGATGGATACACAAAATATTTGATACTTAACAAGTAGTTTGGTACTAGCTAGATTCAGTTTAACTATGGAAAGATGCCTTGTTCCTTTTTTTTCCAGGTGCAATGTGGTGACTTTCCTCATCTGTTAGTGTATGGACCGTCAGGTGCTGGAAAAAAAACAAGAATTATGTGTATTCTACGTGAACTTTATGGAGTTGGAGTGGAAAAATTGAGAATCGAACATGAGACCATCACAGTAAGCATTTCATTTTGAGGCTTTCCAAATATTTATTGCAGGGATTTTCAATTATGGTTATATGCATCTCTTATCCCCCACCCCCAGTTGCTGCTTAGTGTATGATTTAAATAAGAATTTCACAGGTAATCCTGATGCACAGGATTGGGAGCTACTGATTCATAGATAGAACTGATATATAACCTGACCAAAGCCATTTATGTTGGAGACGAAATATGAGCAACAGGTGGTTTTGAGTAAAATACAAAGGGTGAGATTCATTTCAGATTATCTAGTAAGATGATGTGTTAGCTGGAATTAGAACTCAAGTTTCTAAAGTTTATTGTTCGGAAAGTGACAGTGGAGATGGAAAGAAAGGAAATGGTTTTGAGAAAAATTTTAAGCATGCAATCAAGTGACTTCATAAAGATTGGGCAACTGGTGGGGACAGGAAGCATGAGGCTCCGGGATGTGAAGAAGCTTCCCATGATCTTGCCCAGTCTGACCTTTCCAGCCTCATACCATGTAGTACGTTTTTTATGTTCTTTCTGAATGGATGATGATTAAAATCTAGCTGGAATGTTTCCTTCCTCCCCCTACCCCATCAGAATTAATTTTTCTTCCACAACCTCTAGTTTATATAATACTTTTTCTAGTAATGTGTTTTGTTTTGCCTTGATTATAGTTGTTTATACATCTTTTATTTCAGATTGTATTTGTTTTGAACTTATGTAGGAAACATGTCATGCTCATTTTCAAATCCTTCATAGCCACTGATAGAATGTCTTATACATATTAGTCATTGAAAAAAACATGCTAAGTGGATGTTAGTTGTATTAAGAGAATCTTCAGGAGGATACCTGGGTTTTAGGCCGATATTGATTAACTTATGTTTAGATATATTGAGTTTAAGGTGCCAGTTATACATCTTGGTGGAAATTCTTGTAGGGGCAAACTTAACAAGAAAGGTGTGGGATCTGTGATAAGAAAACTGTAATATCTTATAAAAGGACAAAAAACAGCTGATCAAATGGAAAGATGCAATATGTTCTCAGATAGGTGGCTTAATATTTAAAAGTGCATGTTTGCTGTAAGTTATAGTATACATTTCAATGACATTTCTAATTAAAATCCAAATGGTTTTTATAATTGTATGAAATGATCTTACAGTCCATATGGATAAATACATTTCTGAGAATAGCTAAAGTAATTATGGAAAGGAAGTTTAGTGAAATGGGGCTTGTGTTACCAGATAGTAAATCATATTCTGAGGCTATTGTAATCAAGACAATATTATATCGATATGGGAATAGAGAATTAGACCAGGGGAACTGAATAGAGAGCCCAGAAATATGATGGAGGGTCTATTTCAAATTGGTACAAAACAATAGGCCAGCACAATGTGCCAGTATAACTAGTTATCTATTTGGAGGAAAACAAAGTTGAATCCCTGTGACCTATCATTTCTAAAGACAAATTCCAGATTAATAAAAGACCTAAAGCACTAAATATCTCAGAGTAAAATTTCTTAGACTATGTGAACTGCCTATGGTCAAGAATACCTTTTAATTGAAATCATGGAAACTATAGAAGAAAAGAAATAGATACTTGGATATACGAATTTTAAAAGTTGGTATCACGTATCCCAAGAATGGAAAAACAAGCACCAGATATATTCTCCAGCAAACTGGTATTAACTGAGTAGCACCTAAGTGGACACATAGGTACTACAGTAATAGGGTATTGGGCAGGTGGGAGGGGGGAGGGGGATGGGTATATACATACATAATGAGTGAGATGTGTACCATCTGGGGGATGGTCATGATGGAGACTCAGACTTTTGGGAGGGGGGGAAATGGGCATTTATTGAAACCTTAAAATCTATACCCCCATAATATGCCGGAAAAAAAAAAAAGTTGGTATCACAAACGTTAACATAAAATCAATAGAAAAAATGAAAGATTGTCATAAAATATTTGAGAGGAATTTTGGGAAAAATTGAATGCCATTATTAAACCTATAAATGGGGAAGATTGGGAACAGTGTTGCCAGTGGAAAAGTGAATTGTTAGACTTCTTTGGAAAACAGACTGGTCTATACATATGTACAAACATGTATATATTATATACATATATAAAGTTCAGAAAACACATCCCCCTCAATCCAGCAAATCTTTACTTAGAACCTTTTCCATAGAAATGAAAGCAGTACATGAAACATATGTATAAGGATGTTAACTGTGGAATTGTTTAAGTAGCAAAAAACAAAATGTCCATGAATATGACTAACTTTGGAACATCCATGCTATAGGTTGATATACAACTATAACACTACATCATTTGTCGGAGAGGGATTGCCAGGATACATTGTTAAGTAAGAAAAGCAAAACAGAGAAATGTATATGGTTTCCTCTTTTTTTAATTTTTATTTTTTATAAGAAACATTGATACTCCATATCAATATATTTATTTTTGTGTTAACATGGAAAAGGCTGTGAAAGGGTATATGCAGATTGTTTACAATGATGATCTGGTGACAGGGAGGATTTGGGGATTTCTGGATGTAAAGAAAAGAAAAAGGTAATCACAATAAAAACAGGATGTGTGATATGACCTGATTTACATAAAATCATGTTTATCTGCACATTAAGAAAAGAATGGGATTAAAAGAAGTTAAAATGTTAATTAATGGTGGTTGTCTCAAGCTTTATTTTTTTAGCAAGTGTAAATTGGGTATATAATAAAACAATGAAAATATAAAAAAAGGATTAAAAGTTTAAAAAATCTTTTTCCCCCCTACAGACTCCATCTAAAAAAAAAATCGAAATCAGCACCATTGCAAGTAATTACCACCTTGAAGTTAATCCCAGGTAAACTGCTACTATATAGAAATCAGCATATTTAGAAAAATGGTGTTCAGACTTTGTTATAAGAAAGATTAGAATCCTTTCTTGAAATAAAATCATATATATGGAAGCAGAGTATATAGAACAAATAAAAGTATAGCTGCCCTGCTTGAAATAGTGAGCCTAGAGCCTTCACATTGTGTTTTCTCTGTCAAATAATTTCAACAATAGGTTTAAATTTTCTTGCTCTACAGAGGTCATTGTTTTACACAAAGCACATTGAATTGTTAATAAGTTATTGTTAAATGATACTGACTCATTCAATACTGATGAGCAAAGTGTGTTTACAAAGTTTATGTCTGTAGTAAATTTTTAGAAACTGAATTTGGGTTGCCAGATCTTTCTTTGCCACACTCCTCGTTTGAATTTCTTGATTAGAAGGTGTTATAATAATCCACCAAACAATGTCTCTTTTTTGTATGTGATATAATAAGATCTTGTTGGGGAGGCATTGAAAGCTTGTGTGACAATAGTTAAGTACTATGTGGTACAGAAATTATTCTGGGAGCTAAGTTAGACAAGGCTTCAAGGTTCTATGGGGCTGGATATATTCTTGAAAGAGAACAGAATCAAGGACATTTTCAGGTTAAAGCAACATTGTGGGCAGTGGCATAGAGGCAAGAAGGAACATCCGTTTCAAGGAGTGGGAAAAGATGGAATGGAGCAGAAGGAACAGTTATTTTATAAACTGATGTGTATGTGGTGGTCTGTAGTGAGCAATGTGTGAGAAACTTTACTTGGATTATTTTACTATTTAGTCCTTAAAACAACCCTAACAGATATTATTTTCCCTAGGTATGTCAAAGAAAATTAAGAGAAATAAGGTTGGTGGGAATGGGTCTAATCCTAAAAGTAGAGGGAGTATTAATTCTATAGATAAATGGAAAATGTTTTGGATTCTTGACTATGAAAATGATCATAAAAGAGACATCCTAGGTATGTTGAGCTAATAATAGTGACTTGTTAAAAACTTAATGGTGGTTTGGGAAAATAAAGTTGATTGCTTTGCCCTCTTTTTCTCATTTTGAGTTCCTCTGAAGTGAATAGCCAGTTGGAGAATAAGCTCATTGTTTGAAATTAACTTCCATTCAAACTAAATTGACCAGGTGACTTCTCTTGGTTTGAGAGATACTTAAGTGCCAGAGCAATAATATTGGTGTAAGTCAGCGGTCCACAACCTTTTTGGCACCAGGGACCGGTTTCACAGAAGATAGTTTTTCCACAGGGTAGGTTGGTGGGGCAGGAGACAAAGCTCAAGCAGGGATGCAAGCTATGGGGAGCAGCTGTGAAGTACAGATGCTACAATAAGTCAACAGTTTACAGAGTTCTGACTTTGTATCTTGAGCAGTTTGCTTATCCCATCCCCTAGCTAAGTCCCTGAGTCAACTCCATGCCAGTGCTGGAAACAGACTTCTCTAGATTTGTTCTCTTTCAGACCTTTACTAATTGGGCGATAGGGAAAAGGAATAGGGATTGAATTTGTTTCAAAGAGTTATTCTTATATTTTGATAATTACAGTTCAGAAAATAACTGTAATTAGGTATTAACTTTCTGTAGTGGGTACAGAAATGTTAAGATGTTTGCCAAACTGTTAGCTAATTATCAGTTATTATTCTTTTTATGTTAACAGTAAATTTAATGTAAGAACATGTTTAGTGTTTTTAGTGATATTAATCCAATTGGAATGTTGTTAATGACCCTAAAATATTTCACTTTTACAGGTTTATATTTGTAATTAGTAATGTCACTTTTGATTAAGATTTTAACTACTTAAGATCTTTAGCATTTTTCTTATAATAGTAGATTAGGAATAAGAGCATAATACTTTCTAAATATTTACATATATGCACCTTATTTTTGTTTCGTGTAGTGATGCTGGAAATAGTGACCGGGTAGTAATTCAGGAGATGTTGAAAACAGTGGCACAATCACAGCAACTTGAAACAAACTCTCAAAGAGATTTTAAAGGTATGTGATAAAAAGATTTCTTTTTATGAGTCTGCCAAACATTAGTGCTCTTTTTTTTTTTTTTGAGTTATGAAAGTGAAGAAGAAATGCATAATCTCTGTGCTTATGGGAATTTAATAGTCTAGTAGATTTAAATTTCGTGGAAAAGAGGACTATTTGTGCCACTCATTTGCTATTTTAGAACAAGATGAATAATGAAAAATACTTAATTTAAAATAAGAATACACATGATTTTAAAATTATTGGTCTTATGACCTAAGTTATACTGTCTGGAAAGTATCCAGCCATCATTAATATAACAAGAACAGTTTACATGACATGGGTATAACCTAGCAGCCAAGGAGAGTGGACTTGGATACGTGTGCATAACAATAATGACACTGTATTAATTCACTAATTCACTATATTAGTCAGTGGAGTGCTAGAACATGTGTGAACATGTTCAGTGAACATGTGTGCTGTGAGGCCATTCATTCAAAATGACTGAGAGAGTAGAGCAACAAATCTGCACCAAATTTTGTGTTAGGCTTGAACATTGCTCCACAGAAATTATTTGGATGATTCAGAAGGTTTTCAGGGACAATGCAATGAGTGCAACACAAAAGTGTGGCACAAAGACTTCAAAGATGGCCTAGAATCTGTTGAAAGTGATCCACGTTCTGGAAGGCCCGCAACAAGCAGAACACCTGAGAATGAATGTGTCTGGGTTAGGTTAAGAGACACTGGGAGAACTGCATGAGGTCCCAAGGTGCCTACTTTGAAGGGGGTGGAAGTTTCATTGTCCTATGTACAGTGTTTCTTGTATCTTGTATCTTCTTCAGTAAATGCCTCTATTTTTCATATTACGTGGCTAGATACTTTGCGGACAGACCTCTTATGTTTGTTATCAAATATTTAGATTAATAAAACCTTAAAATCTGATATAATCCCATCATCCATAGACAACTACTATTAACAATTTGATCTTTGCCTTTCAATATTTTTTCTGTACATTCATTCTTACAGGTGAGCTTTTGTGATGATAAATATTCCAACATTTAATGCTTTTAATGTACTTTGCCAAATTCTGAATCTGAAAGAGGTAGTATAGACTTATACTACCACTAACAGTGTTTGTGAGTGCCCATTTCTCCCCAGCATTTATTAATACTGCAGATAATTATTTGTAATCTTTGTCAATTTGAATAGAAAAAACAGTGTTTTTTCTTTAATGAATGTGATAATTTTTATTGCTCATTTTTATTGTTTTGTGAACTGCTTGTGCATATTCCTAGTCCATTTCTTATCTTTCCTCAGTTTCCGTATTTCAAAATAAATTTAAATTTATGAATTTATTTTTAGCTACTATAGATGGAGATTTTCTTATATTTTCTGTTTTATGTAATGTGTGAGTTATTGACATTTCTATCATGTTATGTCCTGCTATGTTATTAAAGTCTCTTAATAGTTGATAATAGTTTTTCCATTGTTTTTTGGGGGGTTTTTTAGATATATATTCATAACATCTGTTAATAGATAACTTTTTCTCTTCCAATTTGTATAGCTCTAAATACTTGCTCTTGTCTAATTATGTCACTCTTTCTAGCATCACTACACAAAATAAAATTAATGGTATATATATATAAATATTTAGGAAGTATTGTGCCCTTATTCTTAATCTGTTACAAGAAAAATGTTGAAGATCTGTTATAATAATTGTGGTTAAAATTATAATTAAAATTAATATCACCTAATTATAATTACAAACTTTTAAAAATCAAATGTTTTTAGGGTCATTAAAAATGAACAGTATTTCAACACTCAGGTACAATCGGATTAACATCTTGGAAAAAACTAAGTGTTCTTACAATAAGTTTACTGTTACTTAAAAAGAGCAATAACTAATAAATAACAGTTTAGGAAATACTTGGGCTTTTCTGTACTCAGAAAGATGTTATTCTGTTCCTGTGCTTCTTTTTCTTATAATTCTGTTTCAGTTCAGCCATGGTTACTTTTCTGTTAATCATTTTATTAAAAGTTGAATTTTCCTATAATCTTAGAAAGGGGAACGCCAGAGAATTTTTCAAGGTCCAAGGCTCTAGAGCTGCCCCTTGTTTTATTTATACAAAGTGATAAAATATAGGAGTTTGTGTTCTGAGCTCTGTCTTCCATCTTCCTTCCTACTGCTTACATTAGAATTCAGTCCTTTGTCTCTCTTTTTCCTATTCTCTTCAATTTGAGTTCCGTTTCTTCTCATTGTAGAGCATCATCTTAAAAGGGAGCTTCATTTGGTTATTTTCTGAGTCTACTGCTCTGTCAAACCATACTGCATCAATGTTCCCTTGCTCTCACCCGTGAATTGGACTCTTTGCAATCTCTCTCCTGTTTTTAAGACTTTTGCTTTCAAATTGGCCCCATGATGCTTTCCATTGTGTCCTGTGGGCAATTTGTGGGTTCTCCTTTCCTAGGGGCTGTCAAAAACCTAGTGGATTTCTGTTCCTCTTCCCCACACTGATGCTGATACCTTGTGGGCCTTTTCAGTTTTAGCTGCTTATTCTCACTTGCTCATGTTTAGGATTTCTTAGGTAAAGCTTGTCACTTAGTTTTGATATGGATGTCTATGGGTCTTTGGTCTTGAAATCTTTATTTTGTTTGTTTTTATGGGGGAGATTCAAATGCTACACTCTGCCACTACTGTCTTCTAGAAAAAATTGTTAATATAATGAAAAATACAACAGTTGCATTTAGTCCCCACTTACATATTATTCCTGAACCACTTTAAGGCCGATCTTTGACTGGCCAGGCAGAATCTTACTTTACAAGTGGCCAGATGTCTTTATGCCTAGTTGACCTACATCTCTTCTACCACTGTTTTTCAAATTATATTCCTTTGACATTTAAGATTTTAGATTTAAAAATGTCATATAGAAATGTGCTTCTGAGATAAAGTATTTTGGGAAAATGCAGCATGGTATATCCTTGTCTTGGTAAGTTTGCACATATAATAATAATAAATGCCTGCAATGAATTCTACAACAAAGTAACTTGTTTAACTTCATTTAACCTAATGTTTCTTAGTCTTGTTTGACTATAGAATTTTTAAAAATAAAAATACATTAATTTTACTATATATAACTTTAATTTGTCATTTCCAAAGGGAAGAGTATAGTAGGCTTATTATTTAAAATTGCACTCTGAATAATGAGGAACAGGGAAAAGAGACAAACGGAAGTTTGAACTCAAGTTAAAATTTATTTTGTTTCCCTTTGACTCAGTGGTATTATTGACAGAAGTAGACAAACTCACCAAAGATGCTCAACATGCCTTGCGTAGGACCATGGAAAAGTATATGTCCACCTGCAGGTTGATCTTGTGCTGCAATTCTACATCCAAAGTGATACCACCTATTCGTAGTAGATGCCTGGCAGTTCGTGTGCCTGCTCCCAGCATTGAAGATGTAAGTCAAGTTAAACTTTTCAGAAAAAATTCAGTTCAGATTCTCTGAGTATTTTATGTACATTGCCGTCACGTTTATTCTTATAAAAACATAGTCAAGTGCATAAGTAATTCAGGATCATCTGTGGACCTGGATGCAAACCATTAGTAGATTCACAAACCAATTTATATAGTAGTAAATACCATATACCAATATATAGAAAGTGTTCTTTAAATCATCTTTTACCTTAAACAAGTAGGTATTATGAATTCTAAACTAGGTAATGGCTAGTTATTTAGTGTCTTCCTCCTCAAGCTGACTTAATTGGCTGGAGGAGGAGACTGGAATATGGAGGAAATAGATTTTGCAAAGAGATGAAATATGAATACTTTGTCCCTAGGAGGGGAATCAAAATCTAACATTTATATATAAATATTTTTTCTCTATCATTTTTAACACTTATCAGTAAAAATTCTAATTTCTCACATTAAAAAGGTTTTCTGCTGTTAATACATTTTGGAAGACTTTTTGCAAAGTAGGGATAATATGTGACATTGTGCTAGATGAAGAATGGTCAAGTACATAAGTTTCACTTGTAAAAATTCTGAGAGTAATATAGTTATATGGATTTATAAAGATGTTAACAGAAATTACCTCAATGTACTTTTTGACAGATTGCCCATTTCTGTTAATTATTTTATTTGTAGATTTGTCATGTATTATCTACTGTGTGCAAGAAGGAAGGCCTGACTCTTCCCTCACAACTGGCTCATAGACTTGCAGAGAAGTCCTGTAGAAATCTCAGAAAAGCTCTGCTAATGTGTGAAGCCTGCAGAGTACAACAGTGAGTGGAAGGGTCACATACCACAAAAAACATTCTGGGACATAAGCATGCTTCTGTTTAATTTCTTGTGTCCTCTTTTTGTTGTGTAGATATCCTTTTACTGCAGATCAAGAAATCCCTGAGACAGATTGGGAGGTGTATCTGAGGGAGACTGCAAATGCTATTGTCAGTCAGCAAACTCCGCAGAGGTAACCAGTATAAAATGATGCTGATAAAGGTTTGATCAAGATAGTACACACATAAACTGTTTTATGTTGGCACCAGTTGAATCCCGAATCTAAGTATTAAACTTTTAAGGAAAAGCTAAAATTTAATTTCAGAAATTTAGTGGTTCAGAATAGTTGTTGGTATGCGGTATTATGGCTTTTCCTAAGCGGTTAGCATATGAGTGGAATTTATATTAAATCTTGGATTTTTTATTTTTCCTTTCAGGATCTCAGATGACTTAATATTAACACATAGCATAATATGCCTAGCTTTCTAATATAGTAAAGAACAATATATAATTTATAATTGATGTATCATGTGCTGAAAAGATACCAGACTATGAGTCAAGCTTCTAGTTCTTATCCTAATTTTTAGCTAAGTGTCCTTGAGCAGGTAACTTCATTTCAGATTTTCATCTTCTTCATTTGTATATTGAAGATATTATTACCCTGCCAAGGATAGTTCTGCCTTCGTTGTGAAGAGCAAAGGAAATTGTGTGATAATGGTTTGAAAACTAGAAAAGAGATTTGCGGATGATAGTAGGTTCTATTAAGGATAGTATTGTGTATTTGCCATTGGTACTTAGGAAGTATTTTTTGGTGCATTTGCTACAAAGTCGTTTCCATTACTTCTGTGGCTCTGTTATTCAGTGGTGGACTACACTGAAAATAACCACTAGTTGTTTGATTTATGGCAGCTTTGATTAAGAAGGACAGTCTGCTTTCTTCCAAACCAAGAATGTCAGCGTTAAGCTCCACTACCGTTGGAAAGTATGGAGAGGGTGCTTCAGGCTCACTGAAGTGCAATCTCATATCCTTGTTGCCTGTCAGAACTGAGAAACCATCTTTGGACCTTAGCATAGTTGATCATTTTAGGTTATATTAATAGACCGAGTGTAACCACTAGAATTTAAGCTTCCCTGGTTTCGATGAAAATAATGATGAGAGGAATATACCGTGTTTCTCTTCTTGGGTGATAGATCTGATGAATTCTGATTTTTATAAGAAATTCTTTAAAAGGATTATAGCCTGTTCTTTGGCTACTGTATCTATTGGTAGATATTGAATCAGACATAATGTGTACTTAGTATTTTATTAGGGTTTCCATTGAATTCTCATGATTATTTTAGTTGAAGAAACTCATATTTTTCTAAAAAGTGCCAAACATAAGTAGTCTCATCAGAAAATAAACCTTATTTTTAGGAAAAGGTGTACATTCCATTTTGTTAAATGTTAATAATCAGAGGAAATCTCACTGGTTAAACAGATAAAATACAAACAAAGCATGTCGTAAGAGCCTTTTACTTTTATGAAATATTTCCATACTGAAGATGACTTTCTCCTTTTTGTTACGACTTTAAAGAAGAAAACTTGGTAGTAGAACTTTCCTACTTTTAAGGGATTTAAGTACTTGATGTAATATTTGACAGTTATCACATACATTTTTAAAACTTTCATTATTGCTTTACTTAATTCTTCTAGCTGCTGCTTACTAATTTCTTCCAATTTTCTAACATTTTGGCAGCTTATAATTGAAATTGTGCAAGAAGAGGTGCTGCTGTTTCCTGTTCAAATAACAATTGTGGGAATTGATTCCATTGTGCTACATAAAAAAATACACATTTTGCTCAATTCCAGCCTTGGGGCTGGCCAGAAATACTGGAAGTCTGGTATCTTTCTGATTATTGGCCCACATAGTGCCAAATGACTGCTTCTGATTTTTGACCACTTAGTGTTGCTCTAATATTTTTAGTCTTGATTCTTGTTTGATCTTAGAACAGTCATAATTTTCTAATTTGAATACCAGGTAGTATTTAATGATTATGTCAGCCGTTACACTGTGTTATCTCATTTACTTCATGTAACAGTCCTATGAAGAAATATTACCATCTATACTTTGTAAATTTAAAAGAACCCTGAGGTTTAGGGAGATTAAATAACTTGTTTAGGGACATTCAAGTTATTAAGAGACAGAAGTAGTTCTAGAATACTCATGTTGCTCTAATAGAAGAATTTGTACCCGTAATCACTTGCAAGCTTATTAAGAAATAATGACATATTAAATGTAGAATATATTAATTTTTTGAAACTAAGTAATATAAGAAATTAACTCAGAGTGACATGACATACATGGTAACATGTTTCAGACATATGCAGTGTGGTTGTATCACAGTTATGTAGGTAAATAGATCCTGGATCACCTTTTCAGAAATAAGCTGTATGCATATATTAAAATAATTGCATACCATGTATTTTTTGTTTTTATTACTTTATACTTTAATAGTTAGGTTTCTATTTTTAAGATGTCAGAGAAATCATGAGCTTTTGAGTCAGATCTGAATTAAAATGCTGGCTCAACTGCATGAGTCTTGATGAAAACCTAACCTTGCTGAACTTCACATTTTTTCAGTAAAACAGCATAGTTGTGAGGAATTAATAGTGTATAACAATGAACCTAGTACAAAGTAAGGTGTTAAATGTTTTGGCAGGCATAGGAAAGGGTGTAGACTTTGCAGTAAGACAAATCTGTGTTTAAATCATGTTTTGCTGTGGTCAATTTTGTCAAGTTACTCAAACCATGTAAGCCTTAGTTTTTTCAGCTAAAAAAAAATGGGGATAATCCCCCGTTCACAGAGCTGGTGCGAGGACTGTGTTGAATTATTTCTTAACAGTGTCTTGCACATAGTAGGTGCTCACGTTTATTTAATTGTAATGTGGCAGGGCTTCATGTTCCTGGAATCTCAGGAAAGGAGTCCGAACTTCTACTTTTAAGAAATCTTTCATGAATCTGATTTATCTGAAATATGGAATATCTGTAGTAGTGTAGTAAAAATTCAAAACAGTTTTTTCCTTTTGGGGTAGGTAAAGATACAGTAAGATATAAAGATACTTGTTTAATGTGTATTTGGAACTTTAATTTCCTCTGTTTCTTGCTGTTTTAAAATGTTGTATGTATATTTTCCTCCTTTACCCTTTTCCCTCCCAAAAATAATGATGAGAAGGGCCTAGAGTTAAGGGTCAGAAGAAGTTTGAATGTTCATATTCACTTAGCCTGGTGCTGTGCTTACCTGTAACCACTTGTCTTGCCCCTTTTATGACAGGACAGCTTTGTGTCCCTGCCATACTGCTTTTATTACTGTGCAGTCTAAGCAGTGACATTATGTTGTATCTTACGCCTATATTATCTTTTGTCACTTGTGTAATGGACTAGTAATTGTTTAATCTTCTCATGACCATTTTCTAGATGTTTTAGGTATTACCTATCTGGAGAAAAAAATAAATTACTTGATTTTTTTTTAAAGTTTGTTAAATCCCATGTTGTAAATAGGCTCAACTCTTGCTATTCATGAAGTCTTAATTTCTATCTGGTATTTTCATGGTATTTTGATATAATTAATAACCCTGTATATAAATGTCTCACATTAAAAGAATTCTGAAGGTTGTCTTTTTGAAAAATGAACTGAAATTGAGAGAAGCTTTTATATGTGTGTCCTAAGTGTGACAAACTAAGAAAATGTGTGTGTATTGGATTGTTCATTTAATTCATAAAGCAGCACAGTAGATACTTGGAAAAATATCCCTTTTTTCATAAAATATCAATCATTTTGTTTTATATAGGCTCCTTGAAGTTCGTGGAAGGCTTTATGAGCTTCTAACTCATTGTATTCCTCCTGAGATTATAATGAAGGTAATCCAGTTTCACATCTTGACCTGTTTATGACCATAGATTTGGATTTGGGCTATGTGATTACAGGATTTTTACAGTACCAAGATACATTGACATCTCTCTCTTTAGCTCATTAATTCCTCAGGTATTTACTGAGCCTCTTCTGTGTGCCAGACATGATTCAGGGAGTGCTGAAGAAGCAGGGCTGCCTTTGGGGAGTTATATTCTAGTGGGGTGGAATGGGAAACAAGTAAAGAGGTAAGAGGATTTCAGAACGTTGTAAGTGCTATAAAGGAAATATCAAGGCAAAATGATAATAATGGAGGGCAGGGCTATGCAAGGCCATTGTTGGCTTCTCTGAAGAAGATATGTTTAAGCTGAGATCAAGATTAAAAGGAAGGAACCATGTAAATAGCTGAGGAACAGGCATTTCACACTGAGACTCCGTACTTGGGGAAAGGGGTTAAAGTGATAGGCAGAGTCCAGACTATATAGGATATTTTAAGCTGTTGCTTAAGATTTGATATGTCAGCTATCTGGCTAGCACGATTTATTTATTTAGGGAATCATGGTTTTTTGTTTCTTTTTATTAAAGTTATATATGGTAATACATGAACAAATTTAAGTGATATGAATATACAAAGAAAAGAGTGAAAGTTCACCCTTCCATTTCTACAAGGGTAACTACATTTAACAGCCCACAGTTCTGTTCACATGGAAACAAGTATGTAAGTGTGATTTCACAAAACTTCAAAGTGTTCTGTACCATGTTTTCATTCAGCATTATAGAATGAATGTTGTTTCATGACTACAGATTTTCCAGATTTCTTTTTAGTGGATGAGTGGTATTCCAATTGTATGACTATCGTAGTATTTTGAATGTGACCTATCTTGGTGGAACTTTAGGGTTGTCTACAGATAATTATTATTACTATAAATAGCGCTGTGGTAAGCATCTTTGTATTCCTTGAACTTGGAATTTGGAATGTCGTAGGTAGCCACCACATTTTCACATTAAGGAAAAAGTACCTTTTTTGCTTTTGGATGAAGACTACTAGTTCACATACAATAATTAAAGATCTCAGGTATATGAAAATGATTTTAACTTAAGTTTTACTTCTTTTTGTGAATGAGAGAAATAAAGCATGTTGAGCTAATTTTTTTAAAAAATTAGTACTCTTTTTCTTTAGGGACTTCTCTCTGAATTGTTACATAATTGTGATGGACAACTGAAAGGAGAAGTGGCCCAGATGGCAGCTTATTATGAACATCGTCTACAGCTGGGTAGCAAAGCCATTTATCACTTGGAAGCATTTGTGGCCAAATTTATGGCACTTTATAAGAAGTTCATGGAGGATGGATTGGAAGGCATGATGTTCTGACTTCTCACAGTAATTCTTCCAAATATTTCTCAGTATCAGTATTTACGTACAGCTTATATTAGAAGAACTGTGGCTAAAATAAACTAACTTTACTTAACATGTCTTATTTGTGTTTTGTTTTGTTTTATTTCAGCATATTATAGGGGTACAAATGTTTAGGTTACACATATTGCCTTTGCCCCACCCAAGTCAGAGCTTTAAGCTTGTCTATCCCCTAGACGGTACTCATTGCACCCATTAGGTGTGAATATACCCATCCCCTCCTCCACCCTCCCAGCTGCCCCACACCTGATGAATGTTACTACTATATGTGCACATAAGTGTTGATTGGCTAATACCAGTTTGATGGTGAGTACATATGGTACTTGTTTTTCCATTCTTGTGATACTTCACTTAGTAGAGTGGGCTCCAGCTCTATCCAGGATAATACAAGAGGCGTTAGATCACCATTGTTTTTTGTGGCTGAATAGAACTCCATGGTATACATATACTACATTTTATTAATCCACTAATGTATTGATGGGCACTTGGGTTTTTTCTATATCTTTGCAATTATGAATTGTGCTGCTATAAACATTCTAGTGCAGGTGTCTTTTTTATAGAATGTCTTTTTTTCCTTTGGGTACATGCCCAGTAATGGGATTGGTGGATCAAATAGATAGTGCTTGTAGTTCTTTCAGGTACCTCCATATTACTTTCCACAGAGGTTGTACTAGTTTGTAGTCCCACCAGCAATGTGTGAGTGTTCCTATCTTTCTGCATCAACACCAGCATTTATTGTTTTGGGACTTTGATAAAAGCCATTCTCACTGGAGATAAGTGACATCTCATTGTGGTTTTGATTTGCATTTCCCTGATGACTAGAGATGTCGAACATTTTTTCAAATGTCTGTTGGGCATTAGTCTATCTTTTGAAAAGTTTCTGTTTATGTCCTTTGCCCACTCTTTGATAGGGTTGTTTGATTTGATTTTTTTTCTTGCTGATTTTCCTGAGTTCTATATAGATTCTAGTTACCAGCCCTTTTATTCAATGTGTAATATGCATGTATTTTCTCCCATTCTGTATGTTGTCTGTTTCCTCTTGTGATAGTTTTCTTGGCTATGCAGAAGCTTTTTAATTTGATCAGGTCCTATTTATTTACTTTTGTTGTTGATGTGTTTGCCTTTGGGATCTTCTTCATAAATTCTTTCCCTAGGCCAATGTCTGTGAGAGTTTTTACAACATTTTCTTTGAGAATGTTTATAGTTTCATGCCTTAGGTTTAAGTCTGTTATCCACCATGAGTTGATTTTTGTGAGAGGTGAAAGGTATGGATCCTGTTTCAGTGTTATACATGTGGCTATCTAATTTTTTGAGCATCATTGATTGAATAAGGATTCTTTTCCCCAGTGTATGTTTTTGTTTGCTTTGTCAAAGATTAGATGGCTATATGAGGATGATTGTATATCTGGGTCCTTAGTTCTGTTCCATTGGTCTATGTGTCTGTTCTTGTGCTAGTACTATACTGTTTTAGTTATTTATAGTCTCGTAGTATAGCTTGAAGTCTGGCAAATTGATGCCTCCCAATGTATTCTTTTTGCTTGAGATCACTTTCGCTTTATAGGGTCTTCTCTGGTTCCATATGAAGCATAGAATTATTTTTTCTAGATCTGTGAGAAATGATGTTGGTATTTTAATAGGGGTTGCATTGAATCTGTAGGTCACTTTTGGTAGTATAGACATTTTAACAGTGTTGATTCTGCTGACTCATGAGCATGGCATGGTTTCCACCTGTTTACGTCCTCTGCTGTTCCTTCCTCAGTGTTTCGTAGTTCTCTGTGTAGAGGTCTTTTACCTCCTTAGTTAAATATATGCCTAGGTATTTTATTTTCTTTGTTGTTATTGTGAAGGATATTCAGTCTTTGATTTGGTTCTAAGTTTGACTGTTCTTGGCTTATAGGAATGCTATTGATTTCTGTACATTGATTTTGTAACCTGAGACTTCACTGAATTTGTTTATCAACTCTAGTAGTCTCATGTCAGAATCTTTGCAGTTTTCTAGATATAAGATCATATCAAGGCCGGGCGCTGTGGCTCACGCCTGTAATCCTAGCTCTTGGGAGGCCGAGGCGGGCGGATTGCTCAAGGTCAGGAGTTCAAAAAACCAGCCTGAGCAAGAGCGAGACCCCGTCTCTACTATAAAAAAACAGAAAGAAATTAATTGGCCAACTGATATATATATATAAAAAAATTAGCCGGGCATAGTGGCACATGCCTGTAGTCCCAGCTACTCGGGAGGCTGAGGCAGAAGGATCACTCGAGCCCAGGAGTTTGAGGTTGCTGTGAGCTAGGCTGACGCCACGGCACTCACTCTAGCCTGGACAACAAAGTGAGACTCTGTCTCAAAAAAAAAAAAAAAAAAAAAAAGATCATATCAGAAAAGAGCAATAGTTTGACCTCTTCTGCCCCCATTTGGATGCCCTTGATTTCCTTCTCTTGCCTCATTGCTCTGGCTAGGACTTTCAGCACTATGTACCACTTACTGGCCCAGAGACTAAACTGGGGTTCATGTTCTCTTGTGCTCTCTTTTCTAGGATTTTCCTCATCTTTTTCTAGCAGCTGTGGTTGCCCTAGTCTTCTGGTTCTTCAATCCATCAAGACTGTAGAGTTTTCATAAGAATTTTAGCTACCCACCTTAATGATAACTGTGGTCTTCGCTCAGACTAAACACCCTAAAAAATGGAAAACTCCAATGTGCTCCCTGAGATAGGGAAACAACAGGCCCACTCGATAGAGTCATAAGATCTGCACCAAGGTCTCGATAAAACAGGAAGACATAAGGAAGCTGGCTAAAACCAGCCAGAACCCAGATGGCCAGGAAAAATGAGCTTGGGTTACCCTCACTGCTCATTATACCCTGCTTATGATGTGTTAGCATGCTAAAGGAAACTCACCAGTTCCATGATAGTTTATAAGTGCCATGACAACTCCTGGAAGTTACCTTATAAGCTTTAAAAAGAGGAGGGAACCTCAGTTCCTTGGACTCTGCAACCCTTTCCCAAAAATCTTAAGGATAATCCTTCCTCTGCTTAATATAAAACATAAGATAGACTCTGGAAACTCACACAGAGTTACTCTTGTTCTGAGAAATAGCCCCTACTCTATGGTGCAGCCACTTTTTTTTTTTTTTTTTCTTTCTACCTTGATAAACTTGCTTTTGCCTGACTCTATTGGCTTACTCTTGAATTCTTTCTTGCACAAAAATCCAAGAACCCACTTGGCCTTCAGGCCAGACCCCGGTTTTGGGATCCACTTTTTTATATCATGCCCAGTTTCCAATTGTGGACTCCCTACCACTTTCAGCATATTTTTCTTGTCTCTTCAGCAGTTGCTTTTTATACTTTGTTCAAAGTTTATAGTTTCTGTAGTTTCTAGTTGTCTACAGGAATATCAGCCATATCATAGGTAGAAATTCCTTTTCATCGTTTTACACTTATGTTCAAGTATCTGTTACTTAAAAAACAAGTATTCAAATTCCTCACATCTTCATCTTTTAGCTACTCTATTCTTTACAAATTTCTAAAACAATGTTTTCTGTTCATATTGCCTATATTTTCTCCTCAACTTGTATCAATCTGTTTTTCCCTCTTACATTTGAAAAACTCAGTTTAGTCTGAAAGTTATAGGAGTGTCTGTGTCTCCAGTGAATTCTTGCTCTATAGCCAATGAACTTTACTTGACCTCATCAACATGTGTCACTCTTGAATTCCTTTTTCCCATGGCTTCCCTGATACAAATGCTCTTACATATTTTTTCCCAGTCTCTTTGCTCACTTTACAGGCTGCTGCTTATCCATCAAATGTGGAATATAGCTTTATCCTTGACTCTCTTCTCATAAGATTCTCTCCCTGGCTGACCTTATACAGGCTCAAGACTTCAAATACCATCTATTAGCTGATAACTCCATTTATATGAACACAGACTTTATCTGAGATTCACACTTAACATGTCTAAACACCTACCTGACATTTGTTCACAGCTACTTCAAAGACATCTCAAACTGAACGTATTCCACACCGACCTTTTGATCTCTTCCAGCCCAAACTAGACCTTTCTCAGCATTCCTTTCTCAGTGTCATCCTTCCTGATTCTTTTCCATGTTTGATAGCAGTGGTAATTGCCTGAGGTTCCATCTAATTTCTTTTATTCAATGGCCAGATTTATTTCTGTGCCCTTTTCTTATGACCTGTCCCCCTTTCTACTCCTTGAGAAAACTTAAGTTTTGAGTTCAAAATCAGTACATATGGTGACAACTATGCCCAGACATGAGGTGCTTTTCCTAATATAACCTTCAACCACTTTCATTTTAGTTTATCCACAACAAATTCACTAGCACTTCTGTTAAACCAGCTACTCCTCTTAGCTTTGCTTGTGTCGGTGTGCTCCTTTTTTTCTATGTACCTGGTGTAAAACTTTGGAGTAACTTGGCCCCTCTTTTTTTCTAAATTATTTCAAAATATTATGGGAGTACAAATGGTTTTGGTTATATGGGTCGTATTTGTTACGCTCGAGTCAGGGTTGTAAGTGTGCCCATAACCTAGATAGTGGTCATTGTACCCATTAGGTAGATTTTTCACCAAACCCTTCTTCCCCCCTTCCCTGCTTGATTTCCATTGAGTTTTACTTCCCTCTGTGCACGTGTGTGGTCACTAGTTATTTCCATTTTAATAGTACATGTGGTATTTATTTTTCCATTCCTTAGATACTTAGGATAATGATTTCCAGTTCATCAAAATTGTTGCAAAAGGTCTTAGTCCATCCTTCCTGGCTGCGTAGTTTTCCATAGTATACCACATTTTGTTAACTCAAATTGATGGGCATTTTGGTTGATTCCACATCTTTGCAATTGTGAATTGTGATGCAATAAATATTTGAGTGCAGGTGTCTTTTTGATAAAATTTACCTTTGGATAAATACCCAGTAGTGGGATTGCTGGGTCAAATGGTAGGTCAGCTTTTAGTTCTTTCAGTAATCTCTGTACTGTTTTCCATAGAGGGTATACTAATTTACAGTCCCACCAACTGAGTAAGTGTTCCTTTCTGCATCCGCACTGATAATCTATT